GATCTATATTGTCATGCTTATACTGACTATGTATTTATTTCCTGATTAAGAATTTATTAATTCCTCAGTAGTGGTTCTGACTTACTAAGTCTTTTCATGCCTTAAGATATTTACTAGTCTTTATGTAGAAAAGACGTTTCTATGTCTAGATCTGCTTTCTTCTTTAGCTGCCAAGCACATCAAGTTCTTAATGTTCAGAGTGAAACGGTAGTAAGCTTTGCACAGAGGCTAATTGCAGAGGTTTGTCTTCTTGTTTCTCATTGGGGTGAGGGGACAAGAGGTGTTAAGTGGGTGAGAATCATGTTCTTGGAAGCTGGAAATTTTCTTTTGCTTGGATAGGCTGCCCTGAATATTACCAGATAGTGTTTAAACGTAACCTGGTTGCCTGACCCCTGTACTAGTTCAATGGCTACGTTGTAAGGAAGCAGAGAACTTCTCCTCCACCTTAGTTTTCTGATTTAGTCACTCTTTTTTCAGGATCATCCTTATTGAATGGCTGGCTATTCAGGGTCATGCTGTTTAATGCAACTGTCCGAGCTATGGATGTGGGTCAAAACTTTTTAAAGCTTCATTTAACACCAAAGCAAGGGCTGTGCATGCACAAAGCTTACTCTTCACTTTCTCATCGTGGCCCAATTTGAATGCGAAAAACAAACTGCTTTTATTATTAATACTAGACCAGAAAGATTTCTCTTTTTCTAGTAATAGATTCTGAGCATTTCTGCTCTATCTGTTCTGGCAATGAGTCCTTTTTTAATCCTCTCCTTTATGGATTGCAGCTGTCCCTGGACTTAGGTGAACAAAATGGAGTCTTAGGAGCCTCCCTGCCCTTGGCAGAGTTCATCTTGGGGAGTAGGTTGTGGACAGATAAGCAGATACCTGCAGTTCCAGCTTAGGCACACACAGGCATTTGGGAGCTGTGGATCATTACTGTTATTTGGTGTTTATTTTAGGAGTGGAAGCACTATTTTTACTTTTTAAACATGAATTTTTTGGCAGTGCTTGAGTTGCTTTCTTGCAGTTCTGTAAGGTCTATATTAAAAGTATGGTCGGTCAAAAACCAAAGAGCTTCCCCTGTTCTTATCTGTACTTATGTTCTCAGCATTTTTCTTTGAAAATGCTACATTCTTTGAAGTTTCAAATTAGTCAGTGACCTATTTTGGTCTCTTGCCCCTTTTCATCCTGATATATTGCTTAGTTTGCTGTGGATGGAAGCAAACTTTTTTTACAGGGAAGAAAAACAATTTTAAAAATTCTGTGGATTAACATTCCAAAGCTTCTCAAGTGATTGGTGGGTGAAACGTTGGTCCCTCGTGTGGAAATTGACAAGTACCTCTTACATTTTCTACTTGGAATCATTCCTTTCTGACCGCTGGGTTGGATCAGTGTATCAGATATGGGGAAGTGTGTGCTCTGTGATTTCTTTTCTCAGTCTGTCAGCTTTTTTCTTCACGGTAGCAGTTCTAAATAGCATTGTGGAATGGAATTTGGCAAAGTATACATTTATAGAGGGTGGGACACAGACCAAAAGAGAGACAGCTTGTCACAAGTTGGTATTAGGTCTTCCTAATTGGCAACCAGAGGCACTTACTAATAACTGAAGCGGTTTTTGTCCTGTACTTTTTCCCTTTTGTGGTCTTCCCTTCCACCCACCCTTTTTTTTGTTCCTTTTTTCCTCTGTTACAGTTTAGAAAACGCTAAACCCTCCTCCCAGGCAGCCTCCGTCACGATCCCTGATCACCTCAGCATCAACCTCTCTCAACCCTCCACCCCTTCTTCTTCTTCTTCCTCCTCCACCACCACCCCCTCGCTCGCCACAGCGGGGACCTCCGACGCACCCTCCAGCCTCCCCAACCCTCTTCCGACCGCCCCTTGTGTCTCCAGTCTGCTTGGCATGAAACCCATCCCTCTCCTGGCTCTAAATGTTGTGTCTGCTGCTAAGGGTACCGGGGCTTCAGCTACCACCACCACCACCTCTGCCGTGCCATGTGTAACTAACAAACTGAAGGGCGAGAAACAGAGATTCTCACCCTACTGATTGCATATCTTGAGGCACCCCCTCAAGTATTTCTTGGTTCATTTTGTTTTCCTTTGTTAATATTGGTGAGAACCCAACAATTGTGAGCTTTGTGACCGTTTCCTTTTTACTATTTTGGGGGATGACAGGGTTGGGGGCGGGGGCAATGGTAACGGTGTTTAGGTTTAGTCTATTTCAGCCGAGTGCCTGTTTCAGACTGACTTGTTGAATTCTTTATTTAGAGCCACAGTTCTTGCTTTTCTTTCTCATTCTGTTACTTTTTTGTAGCTTTATTCTGCCTTGCAATATAACAATGTGTTAGGCTCTGTGTTAATGAATAAAAAGCTTCTCCGTTAACCTTTTTTTTTTTTTTTAATTATTTAATGGTTATCAGCAGGCCTTCTTGGCCAGATTTGTGTTTCTAGCTGTAATAAAGTTGCCACAGTAAGAACCTTAGTTGACCGTGTGCTGTGAAGGGTAAAGGGGTGGGAGCTTGTGACCTGTGGCTACTCAACTAGGGAGTCCATCAAACTGACATGGGCTATTTTGTATCCCTGGTTAATTTCGTAGTCCTCCTTTGTTATAATTCCCCACAAAGGGAGATGGGCCTGTGGCAGATAAATCCTGAAGGTCTTCCATAATTGGCAAGAAGCTTTAGTGAAGAACAGTTTCTCTGACTTCTCAGATCCCTTACCTTGCCAACAGCAGCAGGTAACAAGGGTGTCTGTTCCAGGCTTGTTTCCTCTGTTGAGTGGTTACTCTGGGGATCTTTCACAGAGCATACATACAAAGAAGTTATTTCTTTATCCAGAATGGGGAGACAAGTTGGAAAAAGTCTAATAAAGTTTGCCAGCTTCTGTCTGCATTTCTCTGAAGTAGCATTATCCCTCTTCCTGTGACACTGGGTAAATCTTGAATAACCAACCTGTGACATCGCCCAAAATTTGCCAGGATTCTGTCCAGTCATCCTAAACCAACCCTGATTACTCAGCTAGATCCTTTTACCCTTTTATTTTCTGCCTACCCTCTGTCTCCCCACCAACCTTGTCATGAATAGAGAAGTAAAGGCTTAAGATCAGCTGTAACTCATGGATTCACTCATTTATCAGATAAAAAAACAGAGGCCCTAGAATTTAAATTCGAATTTCACGTGAGTGACTAGCCAGCACTAACAACTGTGCTTTACTTTTTACTCACCTGTATTTAACCTCCCTGAAGTCTTATTCTTTTCCTTATCCCAAGACCACAGTTCTCTCTCCATGAAAGAGTAGAAATGCTCTGAGTGTAATGGCAGAGGGCCTCCAGAGTCTTCCATTCAATTTGGATGCATATTGCCAGGGTAATGAAAGTACAGTGCTCTTCCCAGGGCATTAGTGAACCAGTGTAGAAATTTTTTTCCTAGTGACTCTCTTCCACATTCCCTTTGGTTTACAGTGTTAAAAAAAACTAGTTGCTCATGAATGTTGCAGTATATTATCTCATTGTGTGGTGGCCCCTCAATTCCAGATTGGGCCTATGAACTAGTGTTACATGTCCCAAGTCTGAGTGAAGGGCTAAAGGAGCAGAGTTGATTTCATTGTCCAGATAGGGTGCTCTTGTTAGTTGCTCCTTTATCATGTGGTCCACCTATCCCTTAGTAAGCTCTTTCTGTAGTTCAGACTTAATCTTGCTGGTACCATCTCTCCCCAGAGACCTGGTTTTTATTTTATCTAGTTCTTGATTAGAAGGCCTCTTTCCTAATGAGTACTTCCTAAAGAAGGATTGCTGGGAGGAGATCCAGATGTTTAAGGGGCTGACTACCGCCACCTCCTCCAAAGGTACTTACTTGGTGTTAAGTTTTGTAAAAGCTTGCAGCTCCCCCATGTGGTCCTTCTTTCCTAGAGTCCTTAACATAATATTTCTGGTTGGGTTTTCCCTTCTCCTTGCTCCCTCAACACCCTATTCCCCGTCAATCCCTGTTCGGGTTGTATATAAATTCTGGACAGTTCTTTTTGGTGCCAGAGTGTCACCACCCTCTTGCATGGACTTATTTTTTTAAAAAGGTCCTGTATCTAAACTGTTGCCAACAGCTCCTTGAACCTTCAGATCCCACTAAACTCATTCAGGGCCTGTTGGTTATGTTGCCTTAGGTCATCCCATTTTGAGGTTGGCAAGAATCTAACTCCTTTAAGAACTAACTCTTCCCCTTTATGCTGAGGTGAAAGCACCATTTCTTAAAATTGAATACAGTCTACAGTTGAAAGATCTGTCTATTTCCTGGCCCTTGGGGTTTTTTTCTCCCTTCTGGCAAACTTTTTGGCTTTGTATTGTTGTGGAAGAGATGCAGATGGGGAAATAGCATTTGTGCTGTCTTGACTAGATACCACAAATAGGTTATGCCAGTCAATTTAAAATCTTTATGAAATAAATTTATGAACTGAAACTGAGTCTTATACATTTAGTTCTATTCAAAATGGGAGTTAAGTCTTGCTGGCTACTTAATACCAGTGAAGCAGGCTGAATGCCTTAATACCTTTCCTTCAAAGCCCAGAATTGGATTCCAGAACCTCAGTGATCTATTGAAACAGAAAGGCAAGGTAGGGTAGCCAGGTATGTTTGGATGGAGAGTTTGCCTTAAGGAGACCACAGATTGAGGAGCTTCTAGAGTGAGCTAGGGAGTTGTTGAAACCAACTATTTTGGCTTCCACTTTTTTTAAGTCCTGAAAACTATGCCTAAAAACTATAGGTTGACTTATCATTCTTGACCCATGCTTATTAATAGTTGCTTCTTCCTTTTTAACATCCCTTAGTGTTTAAAACTGTATTATCTTAATAATATAATAGCCTTACATTGGTAGAGAAACCCAGGACTGCTCTAAAAGTTGTTTTTGTTTTTGTTTTTTGTTTTTTTTTTTTTGAGCCATCTCAGCATTAGCATCATGAGGCTACTTTCAGATAAATGTTTCCTAAACTGCTATTCTATCAGTAGCTTGGGAGGAGCTAAAATTAAACTCGGCAGTAAAAGAAACGTTGCTTCTGTGTATTGTGACCTTCAAAGAGGAGGCTTTAGTGTGTGGCATAGTTTCAGCAAGTTTTTAACATCTCCCACAAAGATTCCAAAGAGCATAGTTTGAGGGACACCCACAATTGCTAGCCAAGGTCTTCAGTTTCCTTTGGCAATTTGTCTCAGGAAGCTTGGGTTGCAGGATCTTGGTGCTGGTTAATCCAAGAAATCTTAAAGTGTCTGCCTTGATACTGAAACACTGGTTGTACTCTCCTTCACATTTCACCACCAAGGCTGAAAGGTTTGGAGGTGAGGTGCAGCTGGCCACTCAGAAAACTAACTTTGAGTTCTTGTTTATTTTTGTGTTACAGGCTTTCCTCGGAGACGGGTGGCATGGGGAGCAGCTAGAACAATGCAGATTCATCCATTATCCCTTTCTGCTGTTCACCACCACTCATGATCCATCTGTGTAGTTTCTGAACAGTCAGCGATTCCAGGTTTTAAATAGTTTGTAAATTTTCAGTTTCTACACACTTTATCATCCACTCGTGATTTTTTAATTAAAGCGTTTTAATTCCTTTCTCTGTTCAGCTGTTAATGCTGAGATCCATATTTAGTTTTATAAGCTTCTCCCTGTTTTTTTTTTTTTTTTTTTTTTGGCTCATGAAATTTTTTTTTTCTGTTTGTCATGGAAATGTAAGAGTGGAATATTAATACATTTCAGTTTAGTTCTGTAATGTCAGGAATTTTTCAAAAAAATTAAAAGATGGACTGGAGCTTTTTCTTTGTGAATAGAAACTGGATGCCACAGTGATTCATGTGGGTTTTATTCCTGTTGTCTTGCTGTTATTTTTACACCTTTTATCCCTCAAAGGACAAGGACCCTGCTTGGGTTTTGAATATAAGCCTTTATTCCAGTAAGATGTTTTCTTCTGTTTTACCACTCCATCTTTTTTAGCCCTTGATCCGATTTTCCCTTGACCCCACATTGCACAGTGACCTAATAGTTCTAGCAAGCTGGCTGTGCCCCTGCTCCAAAAGATGTGGGGGTATATTTTCCTAGGGCTTGTTTGCAAAGAGTAGGCAAGTACTTACATTGAGGGGAGGCGGGGTAAGGATGCACACGCATACACATGGAAGCAGTCAGATACGTGACTGTGATTCAGGTGGCTGGGAATGTCTGTCCCCTTGTCCAAGCTGAAAAGTTCAGTGTCTTTAATAACTTTTCATTTACAGTCCTTTTCAGTAAGAGTGTGTGTTTTAAGATCTGTCCTTCTACCAAAATTCTTGAGAAAGATGTACCTGCTCCCATTTATGCCGATAATTTTAGGATGTTGGAGCTCTAAGTGATGTTCATTTAGTTAGTGAGAAAAGCATAAAAGGAGGAAATAACTGGTCCACGGTCCTCAGATAATGTCTGGCGCCCAAGGCTCCTAGTTAACCGTGTGTGCTACCCCATTCGTTCACCAAGAAAACCCTCAACAGCTGGGCCTGCATGGAGTGGTTATATTTCAAGGTTTTTCACAGGGGTTACAATATGACAGTCCCCACCCCAATCAGGCACCAGGATAAAAGCAGGGACTTAAACAACACCCCAGTCCTTCAGCCTGAGCCATCACATGCTTTCACAATCTCCTAACCTCCCCCTAGGCCCTAAGCCAGAGCTTGGGCAGAGAAATGGAGGGACAAAGAAATTAGTTACATTGCCACCTGAGAAACCTCAGAGGGGAGGACCCAGCTTTAGCCTCCCTCCTCCCAAGTGCAAAATGTGTAAACAGTAAATGGAAAACAAAAAAAGTGCAGTCTAAGTGGCTCCCTCTCCTACTCCCCAGGGTTTGGGGGGAAAAAGAGTATAGAGGAACATAGGAGGCAAGTCTGGCTTTTGTATTGCCTGACTGTTTGCTGAACATAATGAGTGAAGCAGGAAGGGGCCACTTTGCCCCTCCCCACAGCTCTAGGGCAGTACTTATCCTTCATTTCCACAGCTGCCAGTGTCCCCACAGTTTATCAGGTGAATTGGTCAGGGGTCAGTCTCCTTGAGCCTGACTTAAGGCTGGGACAGCCCCGTCTTTCTCTGTTGATTATGTGGCGCATATATATTATTTATATAAATATTTCTCTATGTACAGAAATAAGAGTGGTTTTCATGGAGGGAGCGAGGCTGGGGGCCGCAAGGCTTCACCACTGTTGTTGTCCAGTTCAGTGCTGTCACAGTCTGAGTCCTCAGGATTGGGAGGGCCCTATGAAGAAGAGGAGAAATGCAGTGAGGGGGGGGTCAGCATCCCTTGGTATTACAAGTAGCTTCTTTCAAGATTCTTCACTGAGGTCTTTTTAGTCATCAGGAGCTTATTGATTTTACTGCCTCCACATTTCAGTTGCTCAGGCCATTCTCCAAGGCACCAGACTGCTAGTTTCAGGATTCCTCCCTGGCTGCAGTTTATAGCTCCTATGCAAGCCACTCCTACTAACCATACTAGGTGCTCTATACTAGAGGCCTCTCAAATTCCACCATGTGGCAAGTTGCCCTTTGGTATGGGAAGAAACAGGCTCAGATAGTGATTTGGGGGCTAAATAGCTAGCTTTCTGGCCTCTGCATCTGTCTACCCAGTAGTTCTCAAATGACCAGGCATCTGCTCCCTGTCCAGTACCTAGTTGTTTCTGTGACTCACCTGCTCCCCTCTGAGTAGGTCCTGGTGTGGGATAGGCAAGGAGCTGGGTTCAGGGCCAGAAACTACCTCTGAAGCAGGTGGGTCTAGTGGGATTTCTGAGCCCTGGGAGCACATGTCATCAGACCGCTCATCTGGTCGCTCATCAGTGTTGGTACTGCCAACTTCAGGTGTGCCGCTGGGGGAAGGTTCGCTTGCTGTGCCTTCCTCACCATCCGATGGATTCTCTGAGCTGAAGGTAGATAATGACTGGCGCATATTTAGGCCCTGAGGCCACCTGTATGTTGGAGAGATGGACTACAGCTTTGGATCTGCACATTACAGCCCAGAAAGCAAAAGAATGCTGTTAACGTCCTGTAGTCCATCACTCACCTCTGGCTTGATGTCAGTTCTACTTCACTGTCCACCTCTCCTTCCTCTTCCTCTGATGAGATGCCGCGTTTCTGCAGGAGAGGAGTGGACTGTGGTCAAGAGTGGGAAGAGGTTATCAAGGGGACCCAGGAGAAGGGAACAGTTATAAAGGGTTAAGTAGGGAATGGCTTAAGATGAAAAGCATAATATGGGAGGTGATTTGTGGACTTGGACCCCAGGGAGAACAGAGGAGAAGAGCTCAGGAACCCTCCTATACTGTACCTGGCTTCGGGTGACAGCAGCCCTGTACAGCAGTGCAGCTGGGGTCAAGTGCTGGGACCCAGCCCGGCTTCCCCGTCCCGCCGTCCCTTCCCTTCCAGTTCCCAGCAGCCCCACACCATCACCGGGCCCAACTGGTGGAGGTGGCTCCCCTTTGGCTCCCCCAGGTGAATCTGGGCTGGTGGAGCCAGGCGCTGAGCCCTCACTTGGTGGGGTGTCACCCCGGGCTGGAGGTGGTGAGCCAGGATCCCCAGCTCCTCCTGTGGCCCCTCGGGCCCGGGCTCCCAGTGCTGCTGACAGCAGATCTGGGGACGATGAAGACATCTTTCGTAGCAGAAGGTCATGGTGGAGCCCACGGAGGGCTGGAGGGCAGGCTTCCCAGGCTGAGGGTCCCCCTCCTAGCCCCCCTGGGCTTCCTGGTCCCCCAGGTTCATGGGTTGGCACAGCTGCACGAAGCCCCAGCAGGTCTCCACAGCTGCCCTTGGCACTGGCCTTGCGGTGACGCGTCTTGCCACGGCGACTCCGTCCTGGTGAGGGGGGGCCCTTAGGACACCCAGGAAGCCCCACCCCACTCAGGGCTGCATCTAGTTTAGGTAGCAAAGACTCAGTCTTGAGGATATCTGGCCTGGTGGGAGAGGGAAAGTACTTTTGAGATTAACAGATTAACCTTGAGCAGTACAAAGCACATCTCTCCCCATCTAAATACCCGTCTTCCTGGCATCCTTGACTCCTATCCCTGCCTCTCAGGCATCTCTCTTGCCATTCTTGAAACTCAGCACTTGTGAACTCTGGTCCCACCTTTTGCTGTGTGGTGACAGCTTCTGTGGAACATTCCTCTTCTTGATGAGCTTCTCCATTGTGTTCCCATGCAGGAGGCCTCGAGAAGGGTGTGACTTAAGCAGGCCTGGGCACCTCCGCTCTAAAGCTTGCTCCCTCCTAAAGACAGACACCTCAGTTGGGCATGTGATGAGAAAGGGGGACCCAGGCTCATCAGGATCTCTGAGTCAGGCACAGCCCCATGAAGACGGGGTGTGGTATATAAGGGCATGTATGGTTACCTGAGCAGCTCCCGCTCCTTGAGCTCCAGCTGCAACATCAGGGCGTTAAGTTCCATGTACAGGTTGTTGGCTCTCTCCAGCTTCCGTTCATAGTGCTCCCTGATGTCCAAGGCGTGTCTGAAACAGGCAGAAGGGTCCCCAAGTGATAAATCATCTGGTGCCATGATTTATCCCAGCTCCACAGTCCCTGCTGGCGGTGAAGTCACTTTCCCAAACAGAGGCACACACCTGAGCTCCTCCCTCCTCCGCATCACCAGCTCCTCTTCTAGGCGGTGCAGACAGGTCCCTTCTGACTTAATTTTTTCAAAGTGCAGCTTTACCTCTTCGCGCCACTCTGCCTGTGGGTGGAGCGATGATGAGGAGTGAGGGACATCCCTTCACCCAGCAGACCTGTAGAAAGCCTCTGCAAGGTGTGTGCCCTGCTGCAAGTTGGTGTTGGAGTGAAAAAGTGGGGCACAGGACTAACCAAGACCGGGTCTCAGCCCTCCAGGAGCTAAGCTCTTCTGTCCCAATCAACCCTTCTTCCCAGACTCCCCTCAAAGGGCATCATTATCTCTGAAAGGGAGTTGAGGTATTCATTTTCCTACCCACAGCACACCTGGGACTTAAAGTAAGTCTCCTGGGGTGTGGAGAGTACATCGGCCGAGGCAATGTCCAGATGCAGCAGGATCTGTCGGAATGATGGACGATTTCGTGGTTTGCTGTTCCTGGAGGGAATGGAGTTGGAGAGAAAGGAATTTCAGGGAGGACCATAAAGGAACTAGAGCATCCTTTTCCAAAGTGTGTCCTGGAGAACCCAATCCTAGAATGTATTCTGTGACAAAAGAATTCCCTGGTCAACTATCTCTAGGAAATGTTACTCTACCATTAGCATATCAAAGTCCTGCAGTATGGAAACCCGTTTAATCCTACTTTCCAACTTGTTTGCCAAAATAAACCTTTTTCTGAGTAACTCCATTAAAAGATACACTGGGAAATGCTTAACCAAAGATTAAAAATCTTCAACCTTCCTTCAGGGTCTAGGTTCCGAACAAGGGTCCAGGGCCCTTCCCGCCTGTGTTCTAAGTCTCTCTACTGAGACTCAACTGACCGTGCTCAGCGGCTGTGCCAGTCCCTCACAGGTGCTTCACAGCAGCCCTGTCTAGCAGATACTGTTATTCCTGTTTTACAGATAAGGAAAGGGGTTCAGAGGGGTACCGCTTGCCCAAGGTCACACTAAGTTTGTCTGTCTTTGAATCTAATGCACCCCTGCAGATTACTGGTCAGTCCAACTCCTCCCTGTTCTACATTGTGGTCCTCTTGATCCACACCTTGGGAGCTCTGTCTCCACTTCCCTGTTCGGGATTCTGGGCCTGGGTGCTAGCTAGTCATTAGCAACACCCCTTTGCTTCCCAGCTTTGCCAGGCTGTCCTCACCAGCACTGGCGAAGCAGGATTTTGAAGCCGTCTGGGCAACTGGAGGGCACAGGCAGATGAAGACTGTTGCTTCCCACACCCCAGATGATGGCGGAGGAGTCTACGTCTTTGTAGGGGATCTCACCAGTCAGCAGTTCCCACAGCACCACACCAAAGGACCTGGGGATGAGGGGACATCACTTGGGAGGGGCTCCCTCCAGGGGCTCTGGTTGCTACAGACTCATCTCCCTTGAACTCAGGCCCTGGAAGCCCCCTCCCTCCTTGCTGGCCACCTATCTCCGTCCTCAGCTTGGCCCTCACCAGATGTCGACCTTCTCAGACACAGGCTCGTTGCGGATCACTTCAGGGGCCATCCAGGCTACTGTCCCTGCAAAGGACATCTTGGTGCTCTTGTCACTCAGCTCCTTGGAAGTGCCAAAATCGGAGATCTTCACCACATCGTCGTACGTGATTAGCATGCTGGTA